CAAAGCTTTTCCACACACGCCCTCAACATTCACTCTGACAGCAGTCTCACTGATCAACATTTGTCAGTCACGTAGTTCGGCTGAAGAATGGTGTCCAATTTCCTTTAACTCTCTCCACTCAAAAATGGTTTGAGCCATTTTGGGGTTCTCAGCTTCACCAGATAACAAGATTTTTATTTATAGACCTGCACTGACATAATGGGGTTTTTATGGGTTCAAGTTGACCACACCTAATACACAATAGTAACATATGGAATGGGGGAAAGAGCAGGTTCCATATCTGCAACTCAGGGTGGCCTGGCCTATCCAAACACATACTACTTTTTCTCCTTACCCACCTGGGACACAGATAGCTGCAAAAGAGCCATGGTCGGAGTTCGTCACCTAGACACAGAGAAGTCACAACTCTTATTTCCCACCAGCCTTCTACATCTTCCAGTCAAAGATTCAAGGTCTCTATGGCAGCCCCCAGCCCCCCCAGTCCAGTGCAGTACCACATAGCAGGCAAGATAGGGACAACATCCATCCTAGCTCTGTGCTTTCAAGAAACAGCGCAGCTCAAAGATGGATTCCAAGGTCATTCTCTCAGGCTAGTTCATATCAGCTACTTTTTTCTGCTAGGGCCACCATGACAAAATACTATAAACCAGGTAGTTTGAGCAAGAGATATTTATTTTCCAACAGTTCTAGAAGCTTAGAAGTCCAAGATTAAGGTGTCAATAAGCTGATTTCTCTGGCTTTCAGACCACTTTCTTCTTGCTGTGTTTTCACATAGTCTTTTCCCTGGTGTCTCTTCCTCTTCTTATGAGGACAATTATAATTACATTGGATTAGAGACTCACCCTTATAATTATGCTTAACCTTGATACCTCTTTAAAGACCTTGTAAAAATCCAGATACAGTCACATTGGAGGTTAGAATTTCAACTGATGAATAAAGTGGGGACCCAGTGCATCCCATAGTACTCCTAATATCTCTGGCATCAGATTTATGTGATTTGTGTACATTCATCCTTTAACATTTCAGTTTTGGGCTTTTGCAAAGTTTTTCTTTTTCCCAGTAATAGTAACAATCATAACACCTACCATTAACTGAGCTTTTGTTCAAAAAGATGGATTATATTGCCTGTTGTCAGTGTGGGCCTGTATGCTGCATGATGTTCTACTGATGTTACACACAAGGATACTGAGAACCAAGGGGATGTGGGGGAGCCACACAGGCAGTGAGCCACAAAGCCAAAGTCCAAATGTAGATCTTTGCAACCACAGCCAATGCTTCCTTCATCCTTGCCACGCGGTAAATGTCAAACCATGCCTTAAATCTTAGTGTGGCTATTGGTAATCACACTGGTATTAACCTGCTGGCAAAGAACAAGTCCTTGGCTATCATTTTAGAAATGCCTTTCCCAGTCCCTTATGAAGCTCCTGAGCTGATCGGCAGCTTTGCTCTTCTGAGCTCCCTGATGCTGCTCACATCCCACTCCTTTTCCCCTCCTCACCTGCCTCCCTCACCTGCAGACAGGGCCCCTTCACCTCTTCTTCATGGAGCCCTCTCTGCATTTGAGGACCTTGTATTTTTTTAAATCCTTCTAGATCATTACTTCCATCTTTTTTGTTTAATGCTACATCTGATTATTTTGCCCTGCTCTTATATGCATTTGACAGTTTCATTTTAGGTAGACAGAGCATTCTCATAATGAATCTTTAATTGTAACACTTGCATAGCATTTCACATGAAAAATAATATACAAATTAAACTTGCATCTCACACTGGATAATTATCACAGGTCTGACTTATGTGCATGAAGCCCTCACATGGTAGAGAGCTCTCTCCAATGACAATGTGTGGACTTTCTAATTAACAAAGGTTAAATGGCATTTTTGCTTGAAGACCTATAATTTAAACTTATGGCATCTGTCACCAAGAAAGAGTTCCACGAAGCAATGAGTTAGACTCAAATAATTTTTACTGGCATTAACATGTTTTACATGATATATAATAGCCAGCTTCAGTACAATTTTTTTCATATCAACTAGATCAGAAAAAATACTTTCCACTTCACTGGAGACACAAGCACAAATGGAAACATTTAAATCAAGGGCTGGAGCAATTTAGAACAGGAAGAAATGGAGATCTAGTGATCATATAACCATCCAAGACTTTCATTGTCAAAAAGAAACAACATCTGCAACTTCAAAGATGTGAAATGGAAAGATGGCATGTAAAATTCATAACAAAGAATAATGTTCAAAATACAGTTATCAATCAGTAAGAAATGTTCCTGCTCCTATTCCCCTAAAAATCAAAGATTGCAAAAAAATTTTAAATATATGAATATTAAAAATATAAAAGTGATTCAACTCTCAACACTTGAAGCAAAGCAAATTTAAATAGTGAACTCTTTTTCCTTCATTTATTTGAATCAACATAAATTCAAGAGGATGTTGCTCACTAATAGAATAGATGTGGAGGGGTGGTCATTCATAGTCTATTTGTAAAATTATATATACATATATATATGTGTGTGTGTGTGTGTGTGTTTGTACTCAGCAATTACACTTAAAAATGTAATTAATTCTAAGAGGTCAATTTTAAAGAAAAACTGGACAAGTGTATCAAGATTTTTATAAGGACCATGTTAGTATAACATCATATAAAATGGAAATTAGGAAGAAAAGACCATTGGTAATGGAATAGCAAGACAAATGATAGCACCTTCACAAAAGGAGGTGTTATACAGACATTAAACACAATGTTCTGGTTGTACATGTATCATTTGGTAAATGTTTCATTATTCATTAAGTGCAAAAAGCAATTTTTAGAACAATGTGTATATTATCACCTATTTCTTCCTTTGTTTTACTTTTTTATGCAAATGTATATTCATAGATAAAAGTAGAAAACGCTATTCCCTAAAAGTGAAAGTAGTTTTATCATTACTATAATGTTACTGCATAACATGACAATTCTCTTTTTATTCTGCTTATCAGTATGCTTACAGTTTCCACATTGAAAAACTATTACATTGATAATCAGGCAAAGGGAAAAGGAAATATCTAAAATCAATGATTTAGAACTTTCAGCACATTTTGATAGGATAGAATTGTCATAAGTAACTAATGATGAAAATTCAAGTAGCTATGCGTTTATGTAATAAAAAGCCCCCTGGAAAACCCTTATTGCAAGAACAAAATCCATACTGCCTAAAATGATAGAAGCCAAAATGAAATTCTAACACACAGAGTGACTAATTGGTTGAAATTGTTCCAAATCAGGCAAAGGCCCCAATTCTTTTCACCACAGAGGTGTGAAGCCAGGCTGACAAGCAGATGGTGGAATGGGAAACCCTTCAAAGCAGTTGTTTTCAATGGTTTCTTTTACCGTCTTCTAGCTCATAGTTTTGCTCCCAAAGTGGGTTGGACTCCTTTCAGTTAATCCTCTATTCAAATATTTTATAAAAATAAAATGCTCCCTGGCAAATGATTATTCACGTCAGCGTTCCACCCAATGAGAGAACTACAAAATTTGAGTTTAAAAAGCAGTGGAATGGTTCATTTGCCATTTCATTGATGAGGGTTTGCAGGTATAATTACACGCTAAGCCATCCCTGCCACTTAAGCCTTCATTAATCCTGTCCTGTCTATTGAGACTATTAGTACACTTTTGATTAAGCGATCAAAACCAATCCCCAGCCTAAAAAATCTTACTGAAATTCTATTCCAATTGATTGCCCCATATTTACAGGCACATACCTCTAAAGCATGCAGATCTATTGGATCCTGGTCCAGAATTCTTCTCTGTATTAGGTCATCATTTGTCAAGACTATAGGTTCAGGAATAAGATCTGATAGAAGTTTGCCTATTGAGAACTAAAAGTCCCTAGGTAAACATCTTAGCTTCTCTACAGTTTCCTTCTCTGTGCAATGGAGACAATGATACTAATACCTAAATTGACAGGCTGCTGTGAGAATCAGGAAAATAGCATATATAAGGCGCCCAGTATTGTACCTAGTACACAGCTGTCGATAAAAGAGTAATGGATTTTATTTTTATTAACAGTATCTTTTTTCTTAATCCTCATCTGATTTTTCTGCCAATAATTTTTCTTAGTCTTCATTTTGAGTTTGTTTCCAGAAAAGTTGTTCATCCAAAATACAGACACATAGAGAAATATGAGTTCCTCTTTTTATGCCAGCTGCTTTTTAAAACCTATAGCAAGGATATCATAGACACAGTTAAATCCATTTGTGACATTCTGAACACTTCCATGACTTAAGATAGGATAATTTTAATATTTTAATGTTCATGGACCTCAGTCTAACATTATAACTTGTTACAAAAATCACAATGAACATGCTGTTTGTGCTCTTTGTCTTACAATGACATTTCAACAAAAGCAATGAAATCCAACCTGACAAAGCAATAAATATAATATAGCCAACTTCTGTGCAAGATGATCAATTTTTACTTCCAGCCATCCCAAACAAGAAGTCCTGGATACCCTTAATATGAACTTTAAAGCAGAGCATTTTGTGTGACACAAGAACCAAAACACACAATCACATTTCAAATGGATTTATGCCTGCTGACTAATTGACTTGATAACTATGTTAATATATTTGTGTTTTTCTGCCTTTTTATATTCTCTTCAATAGATGATGCTATAGAACTGAATGTTATGAGATTAAAGGACAAAGAAGCTAAAGATTTCTATAAACTTCTTTTCTGTAGGAAACCAGATTATACCATTTTTGTGTCTCTCCAAACATTTTATTTCTATAGCAAGTTTATTGCTTCTCAGAAGACAGCGTCTTTTAATTAGGCTTTAGAGCCTAGAGGAAAAGGCTTCAATTCTGTTTAGACAGGACCAGCTTGAAAGTGATAATACTAGTGCACTGAGCAGTCTAATCTCTTACAACTATTGTTTAAAACATGAAGATAGAAAATAGAAGTGACCAAAGGTTATTCTATCTGACCTCTATGCCTTCTATTGTTCTTAGGTGGCGCTGGAGGCCAACAGGGCTTCCTAGGCTGTATCCGCTCCTTGAGGATGAATGGGGTGACCCTTGACCTGGAGGAAAGAGCAAAGGTCACATCTGGCTTCAAATCTGGATGCTCTGGCCACTGCACCAGCTATGGAACCAACTGTGAAAATGGAGGCAAATGCATAGAAAAATACCATGGCTATTCCTGTGACTGTTCTAACACAGCATATGATGGGACATTTTGCAACAAAGGTAAGGCAAAAACTAATTCCAGATTGATTTTTAGACATTCTTTGAACCCAAATCATCTACTTAAAGATTTTTCAGCCATGAATAAGTACATTCTATTCTGAGAATAAGGTGATGAGAATTCCTCTCCCACCTTAGGTAGGAGGTTTCCCAAATCATTCACTGTTCTCTGTTGTTTACTAAGATGAGAGCAGCTTTTGAGTGTGTTGCAGAATTTCCCCCAGACTCCAGCACTTATTGAAATAGTACAAAGCAAGGAACCTCATCAGTCCTAACTGCTAGTGACAAAGGAAATGGCCTGTGAAAGGGGGATCAGGCCTGACTCTCCCACCGTAGGATCTCCAGTTGATTGATTGATTGATCATTCGCTGAGTGAATCAGCCTGTGAAGCCCAGAGGTCTCCATGTTCTCCCACCTCCTACCAGTTGCTGTATCCAAGTTGAACTTGCAAGAAAGCTCCTCTGATCAGCCATTGTCATAATCATTATTGTCACTACTCTTAAGATGCCTTTAAGAAAGATTTTTAGGCATCTGAAACCTTAGGCGTCCTGAAACTGTGCATCCAGCCAGTCAATTTAGAGCATCTGTTATTGCTGGGTTTTTCAGTCTTGAACGAGCCCTTGAATCCCCAGTAAATCCCACAAATCCAATGAGCAGAATATCAGAGTCCAGTGCACACACATATTTGCATTTGGGATATACCCTGGCCATCCCACATGACAGGAACAAATTCACTCAACTGGTCTGTGGCCTAATTTCCCATATGTAAACAAGTGGTGAAGAGAGAACCAGCTGGTTTTTTTCCTAAGCTGCAATAAAAATGCATGTAAATCACTCTTCTCTCTCTAAATGAATCTATAGCATTTGGGTAAAGTTTTCAGTAAATGGTTGGTGTATCACTTAATAAGAAGCTTTACATAAGTAGGCTATTCATACTCTCATGAATACATGGAGAATTGTTTACCCTGGCGTTATTCACAGAAGATGCCACACACACAGAAGAAAGAATTGTTCCACAGCATTCACTGTACATCCAGGCTACTGTCTGGCTGGGCTAGAATATGAGCATACAAATTAGATCAGACAGGGCTGAAGAATGAACATGAGACAACAACAAAGGTAGAAAGGAACACCATTGCTGAATAATGCCATCACACGTTAACAGTGCTATTACAGTGCAATTTTTTGGTCAGAACAGCATGGTTCTATGATTTTCCTGTGGCATACAATGGAATAGGCTTGCAGAACACATTAATTTTGCACTTGTGAAAATGACAGTCTTGCAATTACCATTCATTGTGCTTGATGCTAATTTAATGCAGTCATTCCCTTGCCAAAGTAATGTCTGAATGCAATCAAGAAAGCACTAATGTCTGCGACATTCTACTACATAAGTAATAATTTAAAAGAAATCACGATCCCCTTATTTTTGGAGAGTTAGGTTAAGCACAGTAGCTCACACAACACCTCTGGGGATTAATAGCCAATACTCATGAGCACAAAAACAGGGACATGTGCCTTTCGGCCACTCAGAGATAAACAGAGCCTATGTGTTTCCTTAGATATTATTTCAAGGGGTTTACACCGTAAAACATCTAAATATTCTCTAAATGTCTGTTCAGTAGTAGGATGAATTTACAATGGATTTCATTAGTAACTTTAACCAAAAAAATTAAAATTAAAAGCTGCAAAATACATGTGGGAAGTATTTGTGAGCATCCTTCCAGGTTGAGATAAGTATCTCCTGACCTTGGGGAAATGACAGCAGTGTGGAATAGAATAAGCCACACAACAGCCCCGGGAGTCTCACCTGCAATGAGCGAGCTTCTCAGGCACCAATGATGGAGTCAGGGTTATTCTGCCTGGGGCTTCCTTAGCTTGGGGCCTCCCCACCCTGAATGGCTTCATGCCTGACAGCAGCTCCTGTGACTCTCAGCCTCTAGGATGAGAGTCCAAACCCATCAGCTAAAGAATGTGCTTCATAACACCCGCTCTGGCTTCTTTGATAGCACAGATCCAGGCTGTCATACTGCGTGGCATGAAGTAATGTCAGGTGAAAGTTATATATAATGAACTTACTCTTGAAACTCTATCTCAGTACATCTAAACAGAGCTCATTTTTCCATAAGCACCCAAAATGATCACTCTAGATGGCCCTGACTGAGGTCAGGCTGTATGAAAATGAAAACTCTGAAACACTTGTATCTCGCTTGGCCCCAGGAGAGGTTCACAGTAGGACTGGCTTGGGACCCCATGCGACCTAAGGAGAAAGATCAGCCAGGTCTCTCCCTGTGTGGTATCAACCCATCCGGTGAATGGTGGTCAAATACCCACATTATTTAACTTCTCTGTTCCTCCTCCTTCCCACCCTTTTTCTTTCTCCCCTTCCTCTTTCGTCATCCCTTCACCTTCGTGTCCTTCTCTGCCTTCCTCCACTCCATCACACACATTCTCTCTCCGTCCATTCCTCTGTGCGTCTACCTCTCTACATTCCACACCCGCTTCATCTCTTGTTCTTCTGCTTGAGTATATGGTTGAATTTGTAAATCATATTTGAAAGGGGTCGCGCGTGCCCCTTTCGGGCGCCCCCTCCCAATCAGGTCACTCACTCACCGAGAGGTCTGGCAGGAGATCTTTATTGAAGGGAGTCAGGCGAGGCACAAAGGTCGGGATTCGAAGAAAAGGAGGTGGGTACCAAGGGAAGGAGTGTTGGCTCATTTATAGGGTCTTGGTTGGGAGTTTTGCAATTTTAGGGGAATTAGCTGTTTTTTAACCTATTGCAGGCCACATTGCCTTATAAGGTCTTAGTCCTGCAGGAATCCCTTATCAGATGTTGGCGTCATTTCTGGGAACAATTCAACTGGGGGGGGGGACGAAATTTAAGTTGGGAAAACGAAACTTAAGTTAGGAAGAACCCGGAAGTCAGGTATAAAATGGAGGAGTTTAAAGTAACATGTACAATTTCCTAACAATATTAGTTTGTGCTGCTGCTTCATTGTCCTTCACTGACTTCAGTGACAAGACAGTGCTGGATGGAAGCCGGCCCCTCGGGATAATTGTCTTGCTTTGTACATAATGCCCATATAGTCTGTCCTCCACAAGAGAAAAGAAAAAAAAGCCCTCCTGTTAATATCTTATCAGAAACTACTCCCAGAGTCCTTTTCAAATAGATCCATAAAGATTTGATCACCAATTAAGGTGTTCACTCTCCAAGGGCCATTTGCATCTTAAACAGAAATGCTGATGGGAAACTTTTTGTGTTTTGGAGACAGCACAAGGGCATCCTGGAGACCCTATAACTAGATCAGGTACCGCATCACTTCATCTGCCTCTAAGAAGCCACACAGTCCCTGTCCTGTCAGTATGTGCACCAGCTAGCAGCCGTTTAACACAGCTGAGGCAGGTCCATTCTGCAGTGGAATCCTTTGCCAGCCAGTCTCTGGATACTTCCAGAAGCAGGGACTACCCCTGCCTAGAAAGAAGGTTTAGCTGCAAATTTGTCACCGACAGCGTTCTTGGGGACCTCTGCAGGGGGCCTAAGGCATTGTTACTTGGCTAAAGGCAGTTTTCTCTAATTAAGAAATCCCAAATACTCAAACGCCAAATACTCAAGAATTTTATAACTCTCAGTCATTTTTAATAGCAACCAGAAATTAGTGGCACACCATCTGTGTGTCTTTTCTGTGTTGTTAAAATGAGAGAGGAAAAATAACTGACCTAAAATGGCTAAAGCCATTTCTATGTTTGATTTTTGTGATTGTATGTTATAATGGATTGAACAGTTTCTCCCCAAATATATAATTAAATTAAGGTGAGGTCATACTGAATAAAAATCGACTCCAAATCCAATCAAAATTCCCTTATCAGAAGAAAAGAGGACACAGCGAGACATATAGACACAGAAAAGGAGACCATGAATAAAAGGAGACAGATATTGAGTGATGTTGAGAAAAGTCATGGTTTGTCTGGGCTTTGTGGGGCTCCAAGAAGCAAAGATCCTCTTCTAAACTCTTGGAAGATGCATGTCCCTGACAACACCTCAATTTCACACTTCTAACTCCCATGACTATGTGAGGCTACATCTCTGTTGTTTTATGCCACCCACTTTGTGGTGCTTTGTTAGGAACCCTGGGAAAATAAGGCAAATGCTAATCAGCAATCTTCTTAATTTCTGCTCTTAACAATGGTAACAGCTCACATTTCCTGAGAACCTAGAATATGCTTGCTGGTGGTATGCTGAGCTCTTAATTGTGTTAACATCATTTATTCCTCACCACATAGCCAGGCAAGACTGTTGCTATTATTGTTATCTCCATTTTGCAGAGCAGTTAACACAGATATAAGTGGGTGGAGGGACTTGCCCTAAGATTCGTGTGCCAGTAAGTGGCAAGGCTTCCTTTCCTTTAGTTTTATATCAATTGAAACCATACCATCTAATCTTAAAGCTTTTTGGTTATTGCAATTGAGTTTAAAAATCTGATTGTTGGATGCTATTTATCATAATAAAAACAGGATATGAGATCCAAACAGGGATTCTTTCTTGCCACATTTACACATAAGATGTCTTTGTTCATCAACCCACTGATTTAACAAACTGCGTTGAATGCTATCTCAGTCTATTTTGTGATGCTATAATAGACTTCTGCAGACTGAGTAATTTATAAAGAAAAAAGTTTATCTGTTCTCAGTTCTGGAGGTTGGGAAGTCTAGGGTCAATGGTCCCACAAATGGTAAGGGGCCCCATGCTGCTTCATCCCATGGTGGGAGGCAGAAGAGCAAGAGAATCTGAAGGCAGGAGCCAAGCTCATCCTGTCGCGAGGAACCCTCTCGGAGATAACTAGTCATTCCCACTGTAACAGCATTCATCTGTTAGGGAGGGCAAAGCCCTCCAGATCTAATCACCTCTAAGGTCTCACTCCTCAGATCTGCAACACAGGGACTCTGAGGGACACATTCAAACCATAACCAACACCTGGTGTGCCTAGAATCCTTGAATGTGTAAG